TTCGGTTTCGGCTCGTCTTTTCCTCTCCATTCCGATGATTGTTGGCTTGTTTGCATGTCGTACTCGTAGACCCATGTCTCGTCACCCGTTATGATGCGTTCCATGAAAGTTGGATCGGAATTGGCACGATCAAGCATGTCTAACGAGACCTGTCCACGATGGTGTTTTTGGAACAAATTGAGGTGAATCGGAAAAAGCCGAGCGTTGACACGTCGCATACACAAATTGTCCACCAAAATCAAACGAGCCATCTCACGACCGATGCCTAGCTCTCGTGCTATCTCTCTAACACTCACATGAGGATTTTTGAACACGATTTCCTTTGCCTTTTCAATGTTTTCGTCGGTGGTAGAGGTCGAAGGTCGTCCAGAACGCGGCATGTCTTCGACGGTCGTACGACAGTCCTGAAAGGCTTTGTACCACTCATAAACTTGAGTTTTCGATAAAACTGATTCCCCATAAGCCTTTTGTAGCATTCGCAACGATTCTGCACACGAAAATTCGTTCGAAACACAAAATTTGATGCAAACTCTTTGATCAATATTTTTTTCCATTGTTTTTTTCGCAACGCACTACTGAGGTGAACTGGTTTCAACAGCTGCCGTAAACGAACTGTCTGACAGATCGCGCTCATTTTTGGCATAGTAATTAAGGACAGTGCTGCCAAACTACATAAACTTAAAATATCGAAAAATATACAGCGCGCGAATTTTAAATGAGAATTTCCGAAAACTTTTCGGTCACAATGTATAGTGTGAGTGAGCATGTTGACGCCTAGGATTTAACCTAGGTGAAATGCTGATTTTCATTTTGTGCGCGAGAACAATAAGTAATAGGGCGCCTTACTTTACTCCAGCCCTTCTCTTATTCGGATAGCCCAATTGCCGCATGTCGCTGAAGTGTAGCATATTGTGAGGCGCTACTGGCTTTAACGTATAAATAGTGGCAGCTCGTAGTAGAAAAGTTTTGTCAAAAAAAATGCAAATACTAAATAGGAGTTGCAATGTGAACAGCCTGTACTGCGCTACAACTACGTATCTTGCATTTTGCTGACAATAATGTTGACTGCAACTGACTTTATTATTAAGTGAATATGAACTCCATACCGGAGGTACAAATACAATCGTTTACTTTTTGTCCGTTTCTATTTAAGTTTAGTAATTTAGTTTATGTAAGTGCTGGAGTAACAAACACTGTCTGTAGTGTGCACAAAATCTGCTTTTTTAAAGGCATTAGCACACAATGCCATTACCAACTCGCATACTCTCGCACATACACATGCAAACACATACAAACGCTTAGTCTACTTACTGTAATGCGATTAAATCGCTTGTTATGGCTGTCAACACGAATGCTTCTTTTGTAATTCGCTTAAGTGTCGCTTGACGGCAACCAAAGCTGGCAGCAACATTTTATGCTGCCCCGAAATTCGCAACTACAAAAGAACTTTTCTTTGAAGACATTTTTATTTAAGTAGTGCAAATAATATTATTTTTCTATTTCTCTGCTATTGTCAAATCTATGCACACGCAGTCAGAAAAGGACACACTTAAGTGGAGCATATTTCTGCTTCCTTACACATTCAACCAAATTGGAACTAAGCAGAAAAAAATGTTGGCACCATAATTTACGTTTGCACCCAAGTCCCTTCCAACCTTTTAAGTACGAAGCAGCTTCATTCTGGTATTAGCGACAGTGTGAATATGACTGCAATTGCGGCTCTAAAAGCGTCAAGGGCCAAACGGTTGAACATATTTTTTATCCCTGGGTGACATAAATTTCTCTTGCATTATTGTGGCACCCACATATGTAGCGGAAAGGTGTTACACTTGTCAAACACACAGATTCGACCAGGTTACACAAGAAAAATCGTTTAAAATTTCTTCTTTTTGTTTTTGTACACCAACAATTTTGATGTTTCACAGCCTTTTTTAAGAAATTTAAATCAAGGGAAAATCATATGATAAAGAAAAAAGAAATATTTTTAATCAGGTCACTATATTCTATGATTTATTTCAATCATATTTAATGTGTTGAATTTCAACGGTTACCTAAAGAAACTAGGGAACAGGAAACAATATTGAAATATACCAGCGGAATTTCTTGCCCAATATAGAAGCAGCTGAAAATCTTCTGCACTGGTAGAAGAATCACATGATATAGTTAAGACGAATCTTGAAAGAGTTTAGTTCACTATAGGTTTTTTGTAAATTTGATAAAAACAAGGAAATAGCACAAAAATCTACTATTTGTTGTAAATATGTACACATTGTAGCCTCCTTTTTGATTAAAATAATGGCTTTCACTTTCGAACTCAAAGGAACTAACTAGAAATGACTAAACAAATTAGTTTTGTATCCATTTTAGTTTAAATGTAAAACTTCTTTATCGACTTTCATCTCTGCCTGACAGTTTTATTACAGCAGGACCTTTAAGGAAACACCTTTCACTATCGTGACTTTTTATTTCCCTGCACGCCATATTTTACAAGTAGTTTAAATACGGTATTCACATGTTCCATCCACACTTGCTTACATGTGTTTAATGTGTGTTACCCTTTTCGGAATGTCATTATTATGTCATTTCGGGGCGTTAAACCCATTTGACAGTTGTAAATTTCATAGCTTGACACGCCTTTATATCCTGTTTATTTATTCAGTGCCTGCGATTCTTGATTAGTACGTCGAAACGCATTGCCGTTGGTTTGTGAATTGAAAAAGGAGCAAAAAATAAGAAAATGAAATATTTTTCTTTCGCTTTTATAAAAATGGACGAATCATTCTTGAAATCAGTTTCTGCTTGGCTCAGTATTGCCGTTGGCTTTGTTCTTGACTTTTATTCTAATATTTTATATTGCTTGTTTATTGTTGTAATTATTTGTTTTGATTATGGCACATACCAGTGTTGCGTGCTCGAATACTTCATTGCTTTCACTCGGCACTCGTGAAAGCATTTCACTGTGTGCTAACATTTTTATGGCGTTTTTGTTAGTTGTTTTTGTTTCTAATGCAATTAGTTTTTACTATGAAAATTCTTTCGTAGTAATTGCGGATCATAGCTAAAAACAATTTGAAAAGGATTCCACCCAAGCGACGTATTCATTCATAAATCTTAAAACTATATTAAAAATATGAATATCAGATATTTCACCAAATAATATATGAAAAAGTCTTGTAAAAGCAGATTATTTTCAAATGTATAAAACTCCCTATATAACACTGGTAGTAGTTGCCACTAGTGGTTTCATCAAACAATAAAATTACCTGACTCAATCAACATCAACGAGGTGGAATTTGAATGTGTTAATAACTTTTGATCAATAAAAAACTTTAGATTACTGTGACAATTAGAAACTGTTTTTCAGCTTTCAAGAAATACAAATCAATGTATGATTAAAAAAATTACTCGTCTACCACTCTTAGAGACACAGAAAACACGCCTTACCGTAGTTGTAAAGAAAAACATGCGTTTTAATCTGAAGTTTGCACCAAAAGTCCGACCAATGTCGGCTTTTTTCGAAACAGTACACGATAATCAGTAACAAATTAATTATAATTATAGCATCAGTTGTATAAATCATAATAATCTTCTCAAGAGAGCAAGTAGATTATGACACGACAGACTAACTCTATAGCTACTAATATTTGCTCTTAGTATTGAGAAACATTTCCATTTTGTCCTCAAGTGTTGATAATATGGTATACGGTTTCAATGTAAATGTCATCATTGAATATACTACAGCATGACATTTAATATAACGACAATACAGCACATGACAACCTCGTGACAATCATCTACTACGTTATTTATAAAACCGTTTGAGAGCAAGAATAAGAAAATGAAGAATGACTCGTATAACTGCAGTGATGGGAACAAATCCAAATGAAATGAATGAAAGATAACTTTCGAGCTGTCCTCATTCAATTTACGAAAGTTGCCACCAAATCCACTTAATTTTCGTACGTGTCACATCACGCAGGGCATCGCAATAGCTCAAATCTCTCGTCAAATGCCATTTTAATGAACTTTGGAATTAACAAAATAAAACATTTTGGTGTGCTTCACCGATATCAAAGTTTGTTTAAATTTGTTAATAAAATATCATTTTGTGTTCAACAAGGAAAAAAGCAAAACTTTCTTAATTGCATTTGCCATGACTAAAAACTTTCCGAAACTTTCAGTCAACTTTGTTACTTTGTTACGATTGCTTTAAGCATAAAATGAAGCCATTTCAGAAATTAAAAACGGAAGTGGCCTTTATCTTCAATGGATATACACAATGAAAGGAAGAAACTGCATTGAATATTTTGCAGAGCATTAATAGAAGTTTATATTAACGAATTAAATAAAAAAGGACCCGACAGAAGGATGGGTTCAAATGTACCTTACGTGAAAATGTTACTTAAAAAGTTATACTACACAGTAGCAACATAAAGGGCAAGAACAAATTGAATGCAAATTATAGCCATATTTATTATTAAAGTAATTATCGATTTAAGACAACTTATACTTATATCTTCCCTTAACACCTAATTAAGATAGTGTTTAAGGAACATTGATTACGTCAAGGAATCTCTTCAAGCAAAAATCCGAATGATGTCGGGTTCCTTTTAAAATCTATTGTCTTCTAATTCATGGTGTACATAAACTGCAGACGAAATAATTGATTTATGTTTATATGAAAGATACTAATAATATTTCACTTTATTTTTGTTGTTTTCAAAATTACTTATCTTAAAATTCAACTAATTTACAAATAAGTGTACATTTACATAAATAAATTAAGGATCTTAGAATAATTAAATAGTCATGAAATAGAAAATTGAAACAAAATTTTATTGACTTTTGTTTAATTAAACTTCGAATTAGAAGCATTAACAGAATATCGTTATCGTCATATCGTCGTAACATAGTTATCTTAATTTAATTAGCATTAAAGTCTTTAAATTACGAAGCGTACTCAAGTAAATAATATCTCAAAGCATTTGCTTACATTTCAGATGCTCGCATTTCACAGAAAAACGTTTTTTGATGTGTGGCCATTAGCACAGACGAAGGCACAATTGTGACGTATGCGGAAATTTGTTTAGTAAACAAAATAAAGTCAACAAGGCTTCATAAAAAAACAAACAAAAGCCTATTTTCATATCCAAAAAGGTAATTATGCATATTTAATCAAAATTTATAACATTGCATGCCTAAAAATGATTTGAAATACCAGAGCAAAGCACAGCACAGTAAAGCGTAACAACCGAAAAGTATGCTACGAAAATCATAATTTATTCATTTCGGCAACTTACGAGTTTGCTTTTGCATAAAAGATTCCAGTGTTTGTGGCAGCAACAGAAGCACAAGAAACATGTTAATTTACTAATTGGTTATGTAGACATATGTAGGGTATGACACACCCACAATTTCTTTAGCTTTTACATATAGAAAATTTGTTTACCATAAATTCGTGCAAATCAAATTTCAGATTGAGATACAAATATATTTTTCAGATTTTCTGATTTTGCTGACTGTGTAATCAGATAGCAAGTGACATTAAATAGAAACCGAGAATAGGTTTAGTTGAGTTTGTGGAAATAACTGAACATTTATCCAGTTGCCTATGATATGTCAAAACTGCAATTTACACAGCAAACAAAAACAAATATTTGTAAATAAATTCGCTCATATTCTCGCACAACATCCACTTTCCGACAACTTGGACATGAAATCATATCGCACTTAAGTACTCCTTCCTGACAAATAAGCTCAGTACAGAATAAAAGTGCTATTAACAAGTAAATTTATTTATTTTTTCTTCGAATTTATTATTCGTTCTCACTTTTGTTTTACGTACTCCTTTAACTGATTTTTACTCTGTGTATTTAATTTCCTTCTTGGCAACTTTTGACACTTGGAATATGCCAAGGCAAACAAAATTTTGCAAATCGACCGCTTAAACTCTGCCATAAATTCCAATCTACCAAATTGACCTCAAACAATGTTTAAGACTACAAGTAAACCTCTCATCAGTGGCAACAACCTAACTTGAAAGGAGCGGAGGAATTTCGAACAAAACTCAACACATACGGAAGGAGTCAGTTAATTTATTGATTGGCCGCAACCTCAGCACAATTTATACGAATGGCCTAAATATCGCAACAAACTTTTGCAACCGCACTAAACGAACTAACCGTACCGCCCGAACATTCGAGCACTTTGTGCCATAACAAAAGCTAACAAAGTATCTGTGCTGACTTTCAGATAGTAATGCGAAACTTTGCCTGACAAAACTAACTTCAAAAAAATTATATTAAAATAAAATATAAATTTGAAAATCAACTTGACTTTTGTTTTGCCCACAATGGCTGCATTTCCGTATGAGCGCCATTTAAATAATATTTTCAGAACTGTTTTTATATAAACCGTAGACAATGAATGGCAATAAAATTAAATGAAATAAATTTTAAAGCATACTTGGCATACTTTTAGGAGTATACAATAAACCAATTCAAGCCAAAGTGATACACAAAAACTGGTGAATGACAAAGCAGTAAGCAAATATGAAAAAAAATTATTTATTCTGAGAAAAAGTGGTTGGAAAAAATTTTTCTCAAAGCAGGCAGGCACACATTAAAAATGTAAAGAAACGTGCATATAAATTCGTTTTAGTAACTTGACATAGTAAATTGATAAATGGCCATTGAGGAAAAACAAGGACATAAATCAAGCAGACAGTTAGCGAAAAATATAGACACATAACTGGCTGATATATGATGCCAATGTAACTCTGACGCCTTGTCTACGTTTCAATTCTAATGGTAAAGGAAAAAGCCCAGGAATGTATTTTAAGGCTCCACAACGCCACAGAAACACAGTGTGTTAAGAGGGAAAATAGTGCTGGTACATAGCACGAGACATTAAACGCATAAACAACCGCTACGGTATTAATGGTGCTTTATTAGCGACTAATGGCACAATTGGTGACGTAAATGAGCAGAACAAACTTTATGATCTCCTGTGACAAAGTGGCTAAGTTTTTCGTGTGAATATTTGCATAATATTCTATTAATGCTGCAAAATATTAATGTGCGCTTGGTTACAATACTGCCAACTCCAAATGATTATAAATTGCATCTGTGGGTTTCCATAATTCGAAGAATACTGAAAATATGTTTTTTAAATAGTTTTCTTTGTGGTTCGCCTCTTTTAGCATAATTTTTTGCAAGAAGCTCCTTAAAGGACACTTCACATTTTAGCAATGCGAGAAATAGTAACCAAACGAGAATGTAATATATTCAATATGAAATGTGAAATAAACCTATTAATGTATATATAACATATTATTATTTACAGTAATAATGACACTTTATCTATCCATTTCAGATAAAGCATTAACTACTTAATATGACTTAAAACTATTCCACCGTGCTGAGAAGTTTCATTAGCAAAAAATAAATCATAAGAATGAAAAAGAGAAGACCACACTTTGCTTGTAGTTTTTATACATATGTAAATAATGCATGCGCTTTGTGAAACATAAAGTAAATTCTTATTTAATTAGTTGCAAATTTCGGAATTTAAAATAAGTGATGTATAAATTAGAGGCACGCTTTTAGGCGTTTATTTTGACAATACAAAAAAAAAGAGAAGCAGAAGATGCAATAGCAAATGTAAAACAATACTAAATAATAAAAAGAAGCAAAAAGAAACAGAAAGAAAAGGCAACGCAAACGGAAGAATGTTTCTCTAACAACTTAACACTTGCGGCAATTTAATTAAGTTAACTTAGGCGCCCGAAAGTATACTTTCCAAAAGCACTTTAATTGACATTTAAGCTTAACGCTTAAGAGAGATTTGAAAAGTTTTTTAACAGTGTAAGCGGCGAAGTGAGAGGCAATCAAAGCAATTTGAATGAAAAGAAAAACGATTGGTGGTTAAATTGCGTCAGAGACGTTGGGGTGTATGGAACAATGAGTCTGTGTCTAATAGAAAAAGTAGCATAAATTACAAACTCAATTTCCTTTTCAAGTGTATTCGAGCATTCATTCGCAAAATCTATACTTAGAGAAATGAAAAAATGAATAGAAAGTAAATCAAAAAAAAGTTTGCAGAAATAAAATTAAGAAAAATTATACAGAAATGAAAGAATTAACAATATTCGGAAAAGTTTTGAGCAAAGTTCATAGGAGCAAGTTTGTTGGTAAGCGAACTATATCGGAAAATACATTCAGCAAAATGCAATAAGCAGCGCAAGGGAAGCTGATGAAATGATACTGAGATAGTCTGATACAAACGTAGGTAAACATATGTACAATACAGATAGACAGTAGATGCAATGGTGTAAGAAAACTAACAAAAAAATCTCATGCAATGTCGATTCGCATAGGACATGTTATTTCAGTTTCTTTTTATTAAAGTAATTAATTAGTTTGTACAAATGTATTGTTCAATGTCGCTCCATGCCTTACAAATTTGCTCTCAGCGCAAGATAATTTTAACAGAATGGGCAGCGGAAATACACTAAACTCAATTTAATTTATTCTTTAAATTTTATTTTCGCCAAATATTCTAATTTATATTTAAACAATCACTGAGTTTCAATAGTTTCTGTGCTGACGTTAACGAACTGTGACGCGAACACAATATTTAAGCCTCTAACAAATGTTATTAAAATTAACAATCACTATGAAGCAACAATTGCCACAAAGTCCTTACACAATTCAGCAACAACATCAACCAAAATGAACCAACAATGCGATTTGGTGTTCCTTTCGTTCCCCTAGCAACAATTTATGCCTCATCACAATGTTTCTAAGGGCCCTGTTGCTTTTCGGATCTTTGTTTTAAATTTTCAAAAAAATATTAGTCAATTCTTTTCTTAAGCAGCAAATTTATATTTAAAATAACAGAACCAGCTGCTTTCTGGGAAATCAGTACTCTTCTGGGTTACCTGCCGCACAACTCTACGTATGAGTGACTGCGGCGCTGTTAAATATGCCGCAAAGTGCGTTGTGCCTCTTATCGTTCTTTTCCATCCTTTTGTATGTTTAAATTGTTTTTACGAAATTTTCTCATTTGGCTTTATAAAATTTGAATTCAATTTTAAATAAAACGGCAGCATTTTAAAGCGTCTATAATTGAAAAAGTTCTTTCTTTAAACTTAACCGCATTCAAAGTCTACCGGTACTTTATTTTGGCTTGTTTGTTTACTGCTAAAAACCGATTCAAAATAAGACCTAACAAATCAATGGCCACAAAAGAAATACTTTAAATAGCCACAAAATGCTAGTAACTCAACAGCAAATAACAAATAAACCTGCAACTAGAACATAATTAAAAACGAAATCCTTTTTAGATTTCGAGTTGATAAAGGCAACCTCAATTTGTGCACAATTCCGAACACAATAAACACAAAACTGACTTACATGTTTCCTGACCCATCCGAACTATAATAACCCATAACATAAGCTGGAATATCAGCACATAGTACAGGTAAGTCTGTGCAATCCCTGGAGCTAAGAACACCAACCACACTCCTATACCAATAAAAGCATCTATCAATGTTTGCCAGAAGCAAATATCGAAAATAATAAAAACACAGAGAATTTTGTAAGGTATTTAGAAAAATATATTTTAATAGCAGTATTTGCTGCAATGCAAAGGTATTGTGACAACAAATTTATTATTTTATTACTATTAAGCTAGTTTACTATATATTAAGTAATTGAAAATTTAAACATATATTTTGCGGTGTCTTTTTTGTCCTTTCTTATTACGTGTATAGATCACTAAATGTGAAGGCAAATTCCATATAAGCTAAGAAGAATTTGGATACCTAGAGTCTTGAATAAATTGAATTAAATCAATCACTGCGTATGAAAATTATATCAACAATATATTTCCATTTTTAAATGAGTGTATATCAATAGAAAGACATTTCGACAAAAGTTTCCATTATTCAGTGAAATGAATTAGCTTTCCATTATTTGCGAAACAGATACAGAAAAGGGTTAATAATTATGTTCTCCTTTAGAAAGAATACCAAAGACTGCAGATACTATTCAGATTTCCGAAACGCTCTCACGTTTTCATTTCATAGTTGGAAAAAACTCTTTGGAAGCAATTCACAAGGATAACGGCAAAAGTCATGTCAATGTTTTTTTATT